GATTTGTGGATGTTACATTTTAAGACTTACTTGATTGAAGACATGAGTGGGATATGAGTTTCTTCTACCACGGTTTCATACAGCTGCGTAAACCTGCGGAAATTAATCAAGGTGATAGCTATTAATAAAGAAAGTCACATTTCCACAGGGTCTACAAGATAGAAAATGATTGGTACAAAATAACATCAAAAATTTGAAGAAATAAAAACATTCCTATTCTAAGCATCATCTTTGAGGACGCCAAAAAAACCGCGGTTTTCATTAGCGATGTTGCCTGGCAACGTAAACTGTTCTGATTCTAAATATAGGCCATATTCGTATTCCCGGTATTGGACTGGAACTAGCTTGCAATTGAGGCTAATACAATGCAAGCTAATGTTTAAAGCTAATGCTTCTCAAGCTAATGCAAGCTGGTTCCAATCCATACCGAGAATACGAATATGGTCTATTCTTTTGGCGACTAACTCGCGCGACAATTTTTGAACTGTTAGATACTGTTCCTCATTAGGCGAAAAGAACAGAAAACTGTTCTCTACTCTTGAAAGTTATCCGACGGCCACCTAACCAGTTTAGCTTCATATAGTTACTTTGAGTGCCTCGTTACCTATTTTATGCCAAATTAAATACTTCATTTTGATTTGAGGTACAAATAAACTACTGTTGTTCTTGTTGTTGAGTTACTCCACTTCCCGCACGGAAAAGAAGCGCCGCGACCGTTTAAAGTGAAAGGTTAAAAAGACGAAGGATGACTGGCAACTCCAAACTACCGTAGAGTTTTACCCGCAGTCTATCTGATCTATACTCCTGACAAAACATACTATTTACAGCACGTAATCCCTTTCACTCGCCAGTTAATCCAGTTAAGGACGATTGCTTTTCTCCAGTACACGAAATGTCGCGAGAACCCGCGAGTAATATCAAAGTTTTAACAACAATGGCACTTTAAATAACTTCTTTGCCGAAAACTGCGATCTCAGTCAATTCTCGGAGAAGACCAACCGACATAACTCAGTACTTAGTCAATAAATGCGCAAAAGTCCACGTCTAGTTATCATAAATAACCTCTCCCACCAAATTATACTTAGAAAGTAGAGCAGTTACCTAAAGGCTATGGATTCCAGAATAGCCCTCGTGATATGGGCCTTGTTTGTGGTGGATTTTATGCCCATCAGCGAAACACAAGCTTTGTTGTCATTAATAGGAGCCTAAAAAGAGAAAAAAATATATGTCTTTGACTTTCTGAGCAAGTTCCGAATACACGCTTGGGTTAACACGCATTGGTTAACACCCGTCACGCTCTCAAGGAGGGTGAGAAATTGTTCGGATACTTAACGCATCAAATGTTTTCCGTCCACACTACGCCGTAGGAATTTAAAAAACCAACAACCCCGGCCATTTTGGATTTGTGTTTGAGGAAACGTCGTTCAGGGTAATCACGTGATGATCGTGACGTCATCGTTTTCGAAAAGCTCCGTTTTCAAAATGTTTTCCGTACACGCGAAAACGCAAGGCCGGCGTTTTCAAATTCCTCCGGTTTCAAGAGCGTTTTCGATAAGACCCGTTTTCGTGACGAATTAGTGTGGACGGTAAGTCATGCCGTAGAAATAAAGCTGCGTTTTCAAATTTCACCGGCGCAGTGTAGACGATGATTTCACTGAGCAATCTTGAATGATTTACCTGTAATCCATTGAAAGCAGGAACAAAATAAACCCCGTCGGAGTCTGAAGAAAAAGACGAAAAATGACATTTAGCAATTTGTACTTAGTGGTGGCCTCATGGTTTGTGCGCTCGACTCCGGATCGAGCGGTCCGGGTTCGAGCCCTGGCCGGGGACATTGTGCTGTGTTATTGGGCAAGACACTTTACTCTCACAGAGCCTCTCTCCACCCAGGTGTATAAATGGGTACCGGCGAATTTAACGCTGAGGGTAACCCCGCGATGGACTGGCATCCCAACCAGTAGCTTCATGCTACTGAAACCGCGATAAGCTCCGGCCTGATGAGCCACTTCGCTCGTGTGCAGACTTTACCTTACTTAGCAAAAAGACAGAAAATAATCTACTACTGATAAACGAAACTTGACTTACTTTCTACAGAAAACGCTATGTCGCTTGTCTGTGACACATCATCAAAATAACCTTAAATGGAGAGAAAATAACATTCGCTTTCAAACCCCGAGTCAACGTTTGAGTTAACTAGCTAACAGCTAACTAACTAAATAACTAGCTAACTAGCTAACTAGCTAACTAACTAACCATATGTAAGTGTCAAATGTATTTAGCACCGTTGTGTTAATTGGGGGCACTGAAAATAAGTGAACAAATATTTCAAATAGAACATAAACTATTACGAATCCCAACTGGTGGGAGGCTGACCAGTTGGCTATTTACACAACGCGGTCGAGGAGTTGAACTCGGGGCTACCGAGAACAAATCCAGATAGTTGTAGGGTGGAGGATTTGAGGCAGGGGCCCCCAGATTTCAAATCCAGCGCTCTAAACCACTCGGCCACGCCGCCTCCACTTACAACACATATACTGTGGAATCCCGATTTTACGAACCTCCCAGGGAAAGGAAAATTGGTTCGAAAAATCGGGTAGTTCGAGAAATCGGGGGTAAAATTACAGTGTTCGAGGAGGAGAGGGATACGGCTTTTGGTTCGAGTTATGGGAAGGTTCGAAACAATGGTTTGAGAAATCGGGGTTCCAATATATTAATAACATGACAGTGAAGTACACACCCATTTTGTGCGCCCATTCCATAGCTGTTCCGCAGCCTGCCGCGTTACCTTCTGCCAGGTAGACAGTCTCTCCTCCTATCTTCCATCCAACAATTGGATACAGCCCTGTTGAAGACAAATTACCAGTGAGAGTACTGTCAAGAAAGCTGGAAGATATATCAAGACTTTGTGCCTGTAGAAAACGATGTCACATTCTTTTATTATTATTTTTAATATTGTATTGATTGTAAGTGCCAGAGGTTATATTGCCAGATGTTCGGTCTTACCTGCTACAGAAGCATGCGGATATGAGCCAGTATTGATATCAATAAATGAGCCGGTGCCCATGGTACAGTTAACGTCCCCGACATCAAAACAACACTGTCCAAACACTGCTGCCTGTTGGTCTGCTACCTGAAATAGATAAAAAGAAAAAAGCAAAGAAATAAACACGTTTTGTTTGCGGAGAAACTCTCTCCTGGTTATGAGAAACGTAACACAGTGCAGCATGAGAGAAATACAATTTACTGCATTTATTCCTCTGAGTTTCTTGTCAATTTGAACTGCAGTTTATTAGCGAGTTCGAACAACCCCAATAAGGTTTCGCAAACTAATCCTCCACGCAATCCAAGGTTTCTTAAAAAAACAACGACAACAACAACGACAACAACAGAAACACGTTATTTAATGGTGGCCTAAGTCTTTCCATATACAGAAAGCCCGTGTCCTTTGTCTTGAGTATGTTTCTCAGCCTACAGCCTTGC